GTGGCCGGGTGTGGGTGGGTGTGTGTGGGTGTGGGTGTGGGTGTGTGGGTGTGGGTGTGTGGGTGTGTGGGTGTGGGTGTGGGTGTGGGTGTGTGGGTGTGGGTGTGGGTGTGGGTGTGGGTGTGGGTGTGGGTGTGGGTGTGGGTGTGGGCGTGGGTGTGGGTGTGGGCGTGTGTGGGTGTAGATGAGTGCGAACACCTACAATATTTTGATTGAATTCCACGTCCACACCCACATCCACAAAATTATTATTTTCTCTGTTCTTTCTTCGTGCAATATTAATATCGATGATTTTCGACGAAAAATCATTTGATATATCGAATTAATATCAAATAATTTCTCCTTTTCTATTTTAGGTCTACATCGAACAATTCAAGACAAGAGCAACAATAAAATATGTAGGTAGTATTTTATTTTATTTTTCTTTTCTTTTCTTTTAAATCAAGAGATCAAATGCAATTTCGCGTTTGGGTGTGAGTGTGGGGTGTGGCTGTGGGTGGGTGTGGGTATGGGTGTGGGTGTGGGTATGGGTGTGGGTGTGGGTGTGCTTGGTGTGGGTGTGGGTGTGGGTGTGTGGGTGTGGGTCGGTCTGGGTGTGCAGGTAAGTCTTCTCTTCAAGAATACACCCACACCCACACCCACACCCACACCCACACGCCACACCCACACCCACCCACACCCTCTTCTGAATGTCTTTAAGATACATCAGTGTAGAATATGATACAAATATGGTTTATTCTGCAAATCGGTATGCTCAGACAATAAGTGGTAATCGAATTCGACAAAGAAGTAATGATTCTTGTTTCAGACACATAAGAGTATACGAGATACACCAATATGTTTTTGAAACAAACTACTCAGCCTAGTGACTGATAATATGTTACGTCTCTGGCCAAAACAACTTATAGAGTGCATGTGGTATAAGTTGGGAATTTTATTATTCATGTATCGAGACGAATTGGAAAAAGGTATTGTGCTTCCTCATTTTTTACCTATTTGATGTGTTTTTTGAAATATGCATACTTATTTTTAGCTTAAAAAATTTATGTTGATATTTAAAATAACGAAGTACTTTTTTAATATGAATATTGTTTTCATCTTAATTTCATAAAGATTGAATTAAAACCCTAGTCATGATTGTTTTTTCGTTAAACATAAAATCGAAACAAACATTTAAAATCAAAGGCTAGATAAAAAATACTCTTGTTTTTAATTTTGGTTGCCTGTGGATGTTGGTATGAGTAAAGATTATAATCACTTGCATACCTATAACCACACCACATCCGCACCCGCAATAATCAACGTCCAGACCAACATGCGCGACGAGAAAGATTTGATGCACACCGTGTCGTACACGAACGCCATACGCACAAGGGCGTTGTTGTGATCGATTAGGAGATGATTCACAACCCTTGTAGATGGATAGATCTGAAGAAGGTATCCAAATACGGCAGAATGAGTGGATATATGTATGAATATTCTCTTCGTTCACACCCACATTCCTTTTTTGCAATAGTTTCTGTTGTGACTGTCGCTTATCGCTGCTATCGTTTGAAGTTTCATGACTTTTCAAAACTTTTTTTTGAACTTTACAATAGTAGAAACAAATGATTCCTTTGAATCAATTGTATCATGAAATGCACTTGAGACCTTAGACTGTTTTACTATTTCAAGGTACTTTATTCGCAAGATTGTGAAGGCATTTTGTATTTTGAGAGACCGATTCAATTATTATCAATTAAAAAGGTAAAGATAGTCTATCGTGTATATTACAAAAAGAATATAGATAAGCACGTAGGAGGCAAATGGTTATTTGTCTTTTTTTTTTAATTCCTAGATCTTGTGCAATAAAAGAACAAGGTAAATGTCAACAGATGATACTTACATAGTATGAATAGATAAATATAAATAGCAAAAATCAACGATACTGCTCGACTCCTTCTTATTTTACTCTAGTTAGACGATTAAAGCCTGTTTACCTCTGAAAACATCGATCAACGATGCAATTTGAATGTTTAGTAAATGAATTATTATTCAATGTCTTTGAATACATGAGTACATCTCATATTTTTCATGCATTTCGTGACCTCAATTCTCGTTTTGACGCCGTTCTTGATTATTACTTTCACACTCATAATATAAATTTTGGATCGTTTTCTAAATATGATTACGATATGATCTGTCATAAATATCTTTCATCAAAGATCAGTCAAATCGTTTCACTTTCTCTGTACGGTTATGATGGAGTTCCTGGGCAAATTAATCGATTTTATGCTTATGGCTTCACACTTGAAGAATTTATTCATTTGAAATCACTTTCATTGTCTTACTTTGATGAACAACAAATTACAGACAAAATCATAGTGGGGCTATCTACATTATCGAATTTAACTCATCTATTGTTCGAGCATTGTAAATTTCCTACCAACAAAGCCGATTCTTCACTTTTGATGAACACTATTTGGACTTTGCCTAATCTGATATATTGTTATTTTCATGAGGCATTTGTATATGAATGGAGTTACGCTCGTTTTGTCGTACCAACAGTGATTTCATCAAGTATTAAATATCTGTCTATTATTGGTGTGGATTATGGATATCAATCAGTTCGCATATTCGAGCATACACCCAATCTGAAACATCTTTTTGTATTGGCTCTTGGTAAATGGTGGAGTTTCCAATTTGCAATACCTATTCTATCGATTACTACTTTACAATTTTCTGGAAATTCGTATTCAAAACCATTAGATCTGGTAGGATGGTTGCCCAATTTATCGAAACTGAAATTTGCTCTTAGTAATATACAATATTATGTTTCGATCGGAGAAGAATGGGAAGATATCATTCATCAGCATTTAAAAAAATTAAAAATATTTCAATTCAAAATAGAATTCGATCTAAATGAAGATGAAAACAATGAGAAACGGATCGATCGAATGCTCGACACATTTCGAAGTCGATTTTGGCATGACGAACATCAATGGTTTATACAATACGATTGGTGTTTAGATGAGCCAAAAGTTTGTTTTTATACTCTTCCATATGCTTTTAACGAATTTCATCTTGATTCTTTCATTCTTTCCAAGTCAACGTGTTCTCCAAATAAGTACCAATCGTCATATGATCAGGTGCATCATTTGATTTGTAATGTCGATTTTTTCAAGTACTCAACACTATTCAATAGTCAATTTTGTAACATTGAAAAACTTTCAATACGGTTTCCTATCAACGAGCAATTGTGGTTTATTATTCCAACATTCGATCGACTGACATCACTCGACATATTATCATCTCGTCCAGATCAAAATTGTAAAAATCAACTTCAAGCATTGCTCGATCGAGCTCCTCATCTGACTACATTAAACATTCATGATTATTGGTTCAGTTGGCCTTCAGAAATGATAATATTCAATAAAAATAGTGCATCAATATCTCAACTCAATGTTCTTTTATCTGATGTATTATATGATAATGAACAATGTATTGCGTTGTGTGATGTATCTCTTGCTGCTCAATGTCAAGTACTTTCGATTCGTGTAACAAATCGAACATGTATTCTTGATCTAATCAATGGTATGAACAATCTTCGAGTGTTGAATGTTCAATGTCATGATGATCAATCAATTAAAAATACAATGTCAGACGAAGATGAATTAAGTCATTGGTTGAGCGAACATCAACCACCATCATGTGCAATATTCGACATTGTTCGTTGTGGAAAAACTATTCATTTATGGATTCGTTGATGGAGAAAGAAAGTCGTATTTGATAAGCTATATTTCTAGGCACAATGACTATATGTTGTAACTCACTATTGAATGAAACAGGTTGAATCATATTCTTTATGCCAGAATTTTGACAACAATTACTTCAGATGGCTACTTTTTTCACTAAGATTATTTTAACTCCTCGACAAAACCTCTTCTTTCAATGATGTTGTTACAATTGATCAAAACATTATTCATTGTCGATTATAATGTCGTAAATCTTTTACTCTTTGGGATAACCTCATGTGCATTAGCTGACTATCATTGCATTGATTAAGTTATGAGTAAATTTTTCCGCTTAATAGTTTTTAATACATATATTTACGTAGTGAGTCCTTTTTTTCATTAATGCAATTGTAAACAAGTATTGTTTCTTTCGTAATAAAAACTAGCAATGATTACTGATCTATATTTTAATCAAATGATTTCTTTTCTGAAAAATTTCTTCCTGATATTTTACATAAATTCCTTGCTGTCCAAAAGTTTCGATGGCCAAATATATATATATATTGGTCTTTCAATGAATGGCAGAAAAATCTGAGCAACTCTATATTTAATATTCATAGAAAGTTTTCGATGCTGTAGTCAATAGAATTTTATTTGAACCAGGCTGATTAGTAAATCCATTTGCATTAATATACTTATGCTAACCTGATACAAAGTAGTCGAAAAGTTATTTTAGTAAAGAAAAAATTGAATATCTCCATTGTACGTCAATCAATTGGATTGATGTGTTTGTTGATGATAAAGAATTGTTGATAGTTAATGCACATCCTTTCGTAAGTAAGAAAAACGATGTGTCTAAACGCGTTGTAATAAAGAAATAATGGATTTAAACACAAAATAGGATTTTTCTAATACTTGTCATTGAAATGCTGTTTTATACGATTTTTTTTTAATGAATTTGTTTTCCTTTTCAGCCGAGAAGTTTAGTTTTTTTCGAAAAACACGACTTCGTTAAATTAATTGATTTTGGTACGAAACACATAGAAGTATTTTGTAGTCAAATCTTTAAAATCTTTCAAGTACCCAAAGACTTCTGTGTCAAAATGGTAGTAGGATTCCTGTAAGGATATCTTGAACTCAGTTTATTTAATAGAGAACGTCAACCTTATTCTTGTAGTTATTCTAGTTCTGATCGTCAAGATAACGAAAGTAATCCTGATATGAATAGTTTAACTAATCAAAAACATATACAGGTTTACCAAATATAATTAATTATGGTAGTATATTGTTGAGTAATGTTGAACATATATCACGAGAAATTTCATCAAGCATTAAAAAAAAATTATTGCAACAAATAATAATGAAAACATGGAACGAAATAGTTCTGCATGAACTAGTTGAATTGTTACAATAAATCGTTGAAAATAAAATCATGCCAATGATGATGTGGATACAGATATATTAACTGCAAACAGTTTTACATTAATCAATGATTATAAAAATAGTTTATCAGTTAAATATCTTCTTACAAATCCATCACAAATATATGTACATTATTCGATATCATGTGAATTAATTGCATTTATAAACACCAATGTATCAATTATGATATGAGTGTCTCAATCAGTGGCTTAGTCAAGGGAAGAACCACTAGGCAATTGCCCAGTACTAGAAAATTTTGAATGTATCTTAGATTAGTAACAAGATTCATATGCATTTTTCTTGTGCATCCTGATCTAATTACACCCTCGCCGCAGAGTTTAATTCGAATGAAATATAAAACCTTTGAGAGCCGTTCTTGAGTGTTCTAGAGCTTTTTGCAAGTACTATACTACAGCACTACGTACAAATTTGAACTATAAAACGAGATGTTCATGAAATGTATTTCAATTAGCACCGAAGCTCGAATATATGTACCTGTTGATGCTTTCATATTCCCAATGAATCTCTAATTTTGCGCTTTTTAAATGCAAGAATATGAATGAATTTATATGAAGAAACTAAAATGATCGAATGATAATGAAATTTGAGCTAAAATTGGACAAAACAAAGAAGACTATAAAATAAGAAGAGAAGGGTAGGTCATATGCCTCTATCAAAGAGAAATTGTTTCACTTCAAGCAGAAATGTTTCAACCACATAAAGTCAGAAAGAATCGCCTTTTTAAAAACACACTACCTTCATTCAATCACATCACTACAAGAGAAAACGAATAATAACAAGGAGAACTACTCCATACATGTCTCTATTCCCAAGCAGAAGTCGAAAGGACTTAGAGAGAAATGGATCATTTTCCTTTTTTTCATCTTAAGGATTATTTCTAGTAGAAATGGATTTTTTCTATTGGAAATCGTTATTTTTTAATGAGAAATGCTTTTCTTTCTTTCCACTTCTCCTTGTTGAACCATTTCTCTTCGAAAGAAAAACCATTTTTCTCTAAATACAAGTATATGTACAATATCATATAATAAATTATATATACATATATATTGTTCTTTCTTTTCATTTCTCCTTGTTATGTAAGACTTTATGTGGGGTGAAGCATTTTCCCATAAAGTGGAACAACTTCCCCCATCGACTAATCCAATTGTCCACTGTTGGTGTGAGTATGACTGCTCATGTAGTTCCTTATTTTTTTCTTTCACAGCCACACGTACATCGCACGCATCCATCTCCACACTCACATCCACACCCTGAGCATCTTTGAAATATAGCGACACATTTGAAAAAAAAACAAAGAAAGAAAGGAACAAGCCTAGCGAACCAGAGCAAAAAAGAATGCAGAAAATTCTAATATTCATCAGGAAAAAACCATCAGAATGGTTTGTTACTACATCACGCTTACGAGAATCCCTAGTAAAACATCTTGTAAGCAAGATCTTGACCAAGATCCAAGGTACAGAAATGTTAGTAGATCTTGAAAAATTACGTACAAGATAATTGTATTATCTTGTAACAAGATCTGTAGTTAGATCTTAGTAACAGATATTCAAGATCTTTTACACAATATCTTGTCTTTTATGATCTTATTCACTGATCTGTTGCATAGATAATTATATCTTAGATACTAGAATTCAAGATTTCCAAGATCTTAAAAATAATCTTTTGTTTTCTCTTTATTTACTATTCCTGTTTCTATTTGAAGATACAAAATCTCTTTTTTTTTCATAGCTGTTCACTAGTAAAAAAGCTACAAGAAATTTATTCGAAATAGACGAAAAATCATTCACATAAACAAAAAAAAATATCTCACATTACACAAATTGATTTAAACGAAATAAAATTACAATAAAAAACAGCATATCAAAATGAAGAAATCATATCTTAAAACATTCTATTAGTCGTAGAATTTAAAAAATATTATTTTTTGTTGTTTTAAATTAAACGATTATCTAAAAAGCATTGTATGTAAATAGTTTTTATCTAAAAAAGATTACACAAGATTCAAATAAATTCTTAGTATACAAGTAAGTCTACTGTGTATCACCCTTGGCTTTGTTTTATACTTCTATAATCTGATTGGTGCACAAAAGCCCCTTCACTACTAAAAATTTTTATTTAAATCAAATTTCATACACGAACCATTTTGAGTATTTTTTTTTCCCGTGACTACATCAGAAAATATTAAAGAGAATTCGCGTAGTTAAAGTTTCAAAACTGTTTCAATATCTTTAATAATTTTTTCTTGAATTTTTTCAAATGGTTCTTTAGTTGTATCGACAAACTTTAATTTTATGTCTTTATTTTGTTCGATTGCTTCTTTCTTTGCTTTAATATAAGCGTCCCAAACATGTTCTTCAAAATAACCTTCTGGATCTGGTGGATCATAATTTCGCTCGTATCGTCGTTTTCGACATTCTTCATATGGTAAATCAAAATAATAAGCTAAATCATATTGATAATCATCTTTTGATGAACGTACTATGTTAAATATAAGAAATCCTTCAATTAGTAAAAGATTACATTTCAAACGAATAGATTGAACATCTTTAATAAATCGATCTATATCAAGTGCATTTAAACAATCCCAATCATGATGATTAAATTTATCCAGATGTATGTGTTGTGGATCATCATTTGAACGAAAATAATCATCGAGATGTAATGACTTTACATTAAGATTGTATTTATTAGAAGAAAATACACGTTCAAGAAACTGACATATGGTTGTTTTACCACCATTAGTGACACCACCAAGACCAACAACAAGAGCAGTTTGTGAAGAAGACATTCAAGTATACTATAGTATTATCAATAAAATATTTTATATAAATATAAAGCAATAAAATTGATTTCAACACTATTCTTGATTGTTATTATTTATCATACTGAACTTTAACTTTTCTTAACTCTTTTAAAAATCTCTCTCAATTATCAAACTCTTTTAAATACAAAAAAAAACATTTTTCATTATTTACAGTTATGATCACCTTTTACACATACGTAAATATATATATATTCATATTCGAGCTATCATTGGTAGTTGTGCTCCGTTAGTCTATCGTCCTCTTTTCCTCTACGCAATGTGACATAAAATGGCTGACTTACTTTTAATTTCAATTATTTTTCTGCTAGCTCTCATATGTCCTTGAATTGTTTTTGATGTTTATGATTACTTTTCAGGTTATATTAAACAATTATGATATTATTCTTTTAATTCTTTCGATAACAAAATCAATGGCAGAAGGAATTATTGATTTAATTTTTGTATTAGTAAAAAATTCATTTGAATTAATATTAATTATTTATATATTGAAAGGTATTATTAATTAGATTGCCATTCGAGTTTCGCTCAAATAGAAAATGTGACTGACTGCACAAGTTCGAATACTGTGCAACCAGGACCTTATAAGACATTTGCTATTTGTAAAGCATAGACTCGCGTAGAGCGAATGATAATGGATTTCAATCGCGTTCAGCTGTTTTAGCCAAGCTGACTAGCCAGAGATGATGAATCTGAATCAGCTATTGTCATAAAAGAAAACTCTCAACGGTTCATTATTGTTCTTCGTATCTCATCTATATAAGCCATG